TTTTTATATTTTATCTTTCTTATATTCTTGTGTTATTGTTATCTTATATATATTTATCTTTATTTTATTCGTTTTATCTTACTTTTTTTTTCTCTTTCTTGTCTGCCTTCTCTGTTTGGCATCTATATCATAGATCGATTCATGTTAGCCGACCCAAAATTCTTTTGGGATTAAGGCTTGGATGTTGTTGTTGTGTATATGTCATTAACTATTTTCATAAAAAGTCACCTATATCATTATAGAATGAAGACCAAAATGGAATATAAATCTGATCTCATCTGGGGATGGCAACGGGGCGGATCGGGGACAGTTTTACATATAACCGTAACCGCCTCGTTGGGAAATTTCCCCGCCCCGTAACAGCCCCATTACCCAATGGGTAATTTTTACCCAAATCATAACCGCCCCAACGGGTAACGGGTAAAACTTCGGGTAACCGCGGGTAACCGCTTTATTAATTGAGTCATTAAATTTTGATATAAAAAATAATATGTTAAAAGGTGAAGAACTACATCGCCTAGACCACTCTACACTTAAGATGTCACTTTAAAGATTCATATATCTACAAGACGAGAAAGAAATCAACTTAAATTAATTTGAACCTAAAAATACCTAATCTAAAAATAATTAATCACGAAAAAATATGATAATAATCAAACAAGACTATTAAAATCTATTATGAACTTTCATTTGTACATTATAATTAGTACATCTATTATCTATATGTACACAATGGTAAGAAAAAAAATCTCATCTTTTAATAGTTGTGAGACAAATAATAGATAAAAAAATAATAAAAATATAACTACAAATAAAAGGGCGGGTATGGGGCGGGTAATGGGACGAGCATGTATAAAACCGTAACCGCCCCATTACCCGTAAAAACAAAACGGGTATTCCCCGCCCCATACCCGTTACTCGGTCAATGCAATTTTCCCCATTTTGACCAGGGCGGTTCGGTGCGGGTATCCATCGGTTCGGTCACAATTGCCATCTCTAAGATTCTCATCTTTTAATTATTTACATATATGTTTATAATCACCTGTTATTACACATAAATCAGTGTTTTACAATTTAATGTTATCTTATAGACTTATACCAATGAGAATGTAGCAGTTCAATTATTTAAATCTAAATTAAAAATGATAAAGTGATGTGATCCAATCAAATGAATGATAGGTACGGTACCCTATTTTTTAGAAAGGTACCGGAGTTGTCACCTAACTATTAAACTATTAACAAACAATATATAGTTACATTACTTGATAAAGTTGTAAACATTAAATTACAAGTGCGTTGGGCAGGAAATGATTTTAATGAGTATACATCAAATTATTTTCTTTAGTATGACTGATTTTAGGTTCAAGTAGAGCTGAGATATCATGAAGCAATGAGCTAGATTGAAAGGTGATTTGTGCCGGAAATGAAGTTATATATATATATAAATGTAGCATTAATATGTAGAAGGATTACTAGGTATATGCATTCCACTTATGTTAATAGATAACTGTACGTTCAATTGGCTATCGAAATTGTTTAATTGCAAAATTTAGAGGGTTAGATACGTGATTTGTTTTTTGTTTTTTTGAAAGAATACGTGATTTGTTATAACTAATTGAATTAGTGAAAAGTATTCTAGAGCATCATCCTTTTATCTTTTTAGTTTTCCAAAATAGGATTACTATGTTTTTATTCCCGAAATAGGACTAACATGGCAGTTGATGGATAGTGTACCCGGGGGGTAGCTTATCCGAGGGGTTATTATGGGGAATAACAAGAGAGAAGTCAGAGCAAATGAGTATAGAGAGAGAAAGTATATTAGAAAGTATTCAGTGTTTTCAGCGTGTTGTGTCTTGGTTACAAATGGTGAAATGGGGTGCTATTTATAGTAGCAATAAATGCCGGACAGGGACACGTGTCAAGCATCCATTGGTCGAGGGGTCACCTCAACTGGTTGGTGCTGGAAAACGCATGTGGCCGCATTTAATGCGGCTGTTGGATGTGACGTCGTACTTGGTACGCTGATCTATACGCATGTGGAGCGGATATTATGTCGGAAAAGGTGCCCTCGGCTGTAGAGGACTAGCTGAGGGCTTCGAGTACCGGGGACCTCCTTAGTGCCGAGGGCTCTATGTTCTGAGGGTTACTGATTTTCGCCGTTTTTCCCAGTAACGTTGTTTTCCTGTTTTGACCCTCCTGTGAGAATTAGAGCCTTCGGCTAGGGGGCCGAAGGCACCCCTGGTGCGCATTGTGGGCTGCTTGGTACTCTGGGCGCCGTGATTTGGGCCTGTTGTGCTTCCTGGGCCTATTGGGCCTTTATTGAAGTAGTGGGAGTCTGTGGACCGGGGGTTCCCGGGCCATATACTTCATCAGGAGTCCCTCACTCCTTTTGCCGAAAGGTACTTGAGGGAAAAGGAGTAATTGTGTTTGTCCTCTGCCGTTGTTCCGTTGTAGTTTGTAGAGTTGTGGGTAGTTTGTTGTTTGTTCATTCTGCCGAGGGCAGTCCCTCAGTTACCCACATGTCGGGACTTGAGGGGTCGTGTTTGTGATTTTTGTGATTTTTCCCAAGGGGGTTCTCCAGTCCCCCACTCCTTGAGGCACTTGCAAAGTGGTGAAAAGGAGTAGAGTAATCACGTTGCTGTATTGGGCCGAAGGCTGACGCTTTTCGTTTCATTTTGGGGGGATGCCTCGTTAAAAACCTCATTAGAAAAAACCCTGTGGGAAAAAATCCTAATGAGGGAAAAAGAGTGCACCGAATTCGCCCAATGATGAATCGAAAACGTGAAGCCCTGGCTCGAAATGGAGTACAATGCTGGTGCCGAAGGCTATCCTTGTTCTGAGGGCGCATGTGCCGATTAGCCGGAGGCGTGTTGTTGATATCCTGAGAGGGGCCGAAGGGGAGTCCCTCAATCTGGGGATCGAGGGCGTGATGAATGTGAGTAGTAGTTGAAGTGTTACCGGGGTGTCCCTTGTTTGTTGATTAGTTGGTGAGGAGTGTACCCGAGGGCTCCCGTTACCCGTGTGCCGTAGGCTATCTGTCAATGAGGCGTACTTCCCGGGGGCTACCTGGCCCTTAAAGTGCTTAGGGGGATCCCCGAGGGGTGTGCCTGCTATGAAGCCGTGGGCTTGTGAAGGGATGAGCCCGAAGGCATCTGTTATTTGGTGTGAGGGGCACAATCCGGGAGCATCTCTGGGTAAGTGTACCCGGGGGCTCTCCTTGATGAAGAGGAGTGAAGCAAAAAGCCCGGGGGCTAGTTTCTTGGTTGATGAAGGAGTGGTCTGCTACGTGTAGCCGGGAGCTCCCAGAATATATCCGTTGGGAATAAAGCCGTTGGAATACCTAACGTCAAAATATAGCCGTGGGGGGGGGGGGGGCTGCCACGTGGTATGCGCTCGTTGGCTGCCCGTGGGCGGGTGTCACCGATTGGGCGAATCCACGGTTTGTAATGATGGCATTCCAACCGGAGGCCCGGTTTCCAGGCCCAAGCCCGGATCCAGGCGCCTATAAATACCCCATGGCCAGGCCGCTTTACTCTGTGCGATATTATTGTAGCGAAGCTCTGCCCAAATTCCTAGAGAGAGAAACAACTGCCTTCGGTCTAACTCCCGTTTCAAGGTCAGTTCCTCCTTGTCCTCCACCTTTTTACCTAGATGTGCTTAGCGGACTTAGGAATCTATACTTAGGAATTTTAGCATAGAGCACTTAGTATATCCGAGCCCTCGAGCTAGTACAGACGATGTCTTCACAGAGCGACTCCCAAGATATCGCAGGGGCGCCCTCGATGGAGGAGGAAATCATCTCGGACGTGGAGTCCACAAGCGAACAGCCCTCAGTGGGACAAGATGCTGTTGTAGCGATGGAGCTGCAGAAAGCCCTCGTCGCCGAGGCGGAAGCCGAGGGCTTCGAACAAGAATGCGAAGACGAAGAGCTGGCCCTTGCCTGGCAAGCAGCTGAGGAAGAGGCGCAGAAAGAGGGCGTGAGGGTCACCGTAGCTGTTCTCCCCCCTCGGGGCACTGGTGAGGCCAGCACCTCTTGGCCGTTGAACACGGTTCCCATCCGTGTGGCCCTCAGGAAAAAGAAGGCGAAGGTTGCTGCTTCCAAGAAGAAAGGCAGCGTCGCAGACCAAGGGAAGCCCCTCGATATGCCCGAGGGGTATTCCTACTTGAATACCGCCGCCTTAGAGAAAGTCGAAAGCTGATGAGGCGGATCTCTACGTCACCCAGTTACATGTGGGCCCCTCGGCCGTTGTGGTGGCACCGGGTCCCGATGACGTCCTCTCCCGGGCTCCCGAGGGCTGTATTGCAGTACATGTCCTGTCCGTATCGATGGGGCTCCGGTTCCCCCTACACCCCTTCCTTCGGGAATATCTCCGGTTCGTGGGTTTGGTCCCCTGCCAACTGACGCCGAATAGCCACTCATACATCGTGGGCTTCCTCCATCTCTGCAAATCCCGGGGGGTGACGCCTAGCCTGGACCTCTTCTTTCAAAGTTTCAATCTGTGCCGGGGGGGGGGGGGGGGGGGCATGCGAATGCCGAGGGCTTCGCGAACTTGCAGCAGGTGGCCCTGTTCAAGTTGTTCACTGATGCGCCCTCCTCAAACAAAGGGTGGAAAGACCGGTGGTGCTTCATAAAGTTAGCCGAGAGCCCCTTCCCGAGGGAACTGCGTGACCGGTTCAAGCGCCATGAAAAGAGGAGGAGCGCCGCCCTCGAGAAAGATGGCAGGATCCTGGCAAAGATCCTGGAAGGCCGGGAAAAGAATATAGCCATCAAGGAGTGTACCCAAGAGGAGGACCTCTACACCCTCGGGTTCCGGCGGTATCGCTTCCTGGGGGAAACGGATGAAAGGTTCCCGGCATTTGAGGGAGCCTCCAGAGGTAGCAGAGAGCACCCTTATTTTCGTATTTTAGCACTTAGTTTGTTGTTTTCTTTTTTTTTCTTCGTACTTTCATGCCATCTGTTAATGACCCATCGGCCTAACTCCATATTGTGTTGCAGGTATCCCGGTCAATATGATGAACGTCAGAGGGCTTGCTGACTTCAAGAAGAAGAAATCTTCCAAGGTCCTGAAGGGGACGGATGCTGGTGTCCCTAAACCCGCCGGTGACTTCTTTAAGAAGCCGGAGGGGCCGTCGGCGGTCCCAAATGATGATGCTGCCGCTGCTCCGAAGAGAAAAGTTGTGGGCAAGGCTCTCGAGGGCAAAAGGCTGAAAATGGGAGACGTCGGGAAGAAGGGTCCCCCCGTGGTCATTGTTGATGATTGCCCCGCCTCCGGGATGCCTGAGGAGATGACGGTGGCGGAAGTGCCGGGGGGTGTCCGGGAGCCATCCTCAGAGGTCCTGATGGTTTCTCTCCCGGTAGGAACGGCCGTGATGAACTGCACGGCGGACCCGAGGGTGCTTCTGAGGGGCATGACCCTTGAGATTGACAGAGCCGCCCTTGGGGCTGATGATGACCAGGCCCTCGAGGACAAGATCCTCCGGTCTTCCCTTACTGTAAGTTTTTAACTAATTACCGTTTTACTTTGTGCCAGAACATACTGTACGGCTTTCCTAACCTCTTTATTTCTTGTAGACTTGCATTGCCCTTGGTGAGCAGGCCCGAAGGCTGGAGGAGTGGCGTATGCGCAAGGCTGAGCAGGATGCAAAAATGCGGGAGCTTATCTGCCAGAATTCTGATGCCATCCGGCATATGGCTATGCTGGAGGAGAGCCTTCGGCAGATGACCCTGCGGGCGGAGGCCGCAGACCGGGGCAAGGCCGAGGCTGAGAGGTCCGCAGCTGAAGCCCTCGAGAGAGCCGCTAAGGAGGCCGAGGCCTCCAAGGCGGATGCTGTCGAGAAAGCCCGAGGGGACGCCATCTCCGGTTTTTTGGCAGGGAGGTGGCGAGCAGAGGAGCACAAACAGTGGCTGTCCTCGGTCGTGGAGTCCTCGGTCGAAGAATGGTGCGATGGGCCCGGCGTGGAGTGGGTTTCCCGAAAGGGTAAACAATACTACGATGGGGGCGAGTTTTTTACTCAAGCCCTCATCTACCGGAGGATGGCCCGCCATCTAAAGATCGAGCAGAAGGACTTTGACCCGGCAGCGTACGGACTTCCCCCCTGCATCCAGATGTCCGTGTTCCTCTCCCCTCAGATGTCGAGAGGCCAGACTTGGAGGACACCGAGCTGATGAAGGAGACCGAGGGAGACGAACCTGAGGCCGGCATGGAGGTCACTTCAAAGCCTTCGGAAGAGACGCCCCCCGGGGATGTTAATATGTAATTTTTATTTAGCATATTCTGAACAATCTGGTTGTAATCAATGGTTGTATGCCCTTGGCCTTCAGCCCTTTTTGTAACATACATTTGAATTTCCCTTTCTCGGATGAATGAATGCTTGCCTTCGGGCTTTGTGTATATAATTTGTTCCCTTCAATTGTTTCTCTTTGAATGTATGCCCTCGCCTTTCTGAATGCATGCCTTCGTTTTTCTGAATGTATGTTTAGGACTTAGAATATATTCTTCCAAGCATAGTGCCTCTCGTAGCCCTCGGCTACTAGGCCTATTTAGTCAATTGAACCTTCCACCGAGGGCACAATGTTCAGGACTTAGAAATATTTCTAAGTGTTTGTTCATCTGTTGGCCCCCGGCTAATTCTTTCCCTCTGGTTCTGTGTAGCCTTCATGAGATAACCGGAGGCGAGGTGTTTAGGACTTAGAATATTTCTAAGTGTTTGAATACAGTCTAGCCTTCGGTGATTGGGTACCCTTCGCTGACTGGATGTATGACCGAGGGCCCAGAAATAGTTAGGACTTAGAAAATATTCCTAAGTGTAGTTTTACCAAGTCTTCAACCGTATGACCCCTCGGGCTGTATGAAGATTTGACCGAGGGCCAAAATATGTAGGACTTAGAAAATATTTCCAAGTGTATTTTCATCAAGCCTTTGACTGTGCGGCCCCTCTGGTTGCATGGGGATTTGACCAAGGGTCAAATACTTTTGGGACTTAGAAATTCTTCTAAGTGTAGTTTGTATGAAGGAGGAGCCTTCGGGTGAATGTGAGGACCTTGTCTCAGATGCGCCCTCGGCTGGCTGGTGGCCCCACAGGGGGTAAAGTATTTAGGACTTAGGTTATTTTCTCTAAGTATTTCCTGCTGCTGGCCTTCGGGAGGGGACCCTTTGGCTGTACACGTTGTAAGTTTAGGATAGTTTCCTTTGCCTTGTAATGTTGGCTTGTGGCAACAAAAAAGCCTTCGGTTGTTTGTCATGTCCCCCCAATGTTGATATAGGAGAGTTTGTAATCCAAGTCTAGCATAAAAAGGCAGACTCCCTCGGGAACTGTCTGGATGTATCCCCTCGGCATGTAGTGAGGTGCCGGGGGTGATTCTTGATTTGGTTTGGCCACCATCTCGCAGTTTCGTTATATAGTAGCCTTCGGGGACGTTGTCAGTCGCAGTTGGCTGAGCTTGCCATGTTTTGTAGTATTTGAGCCTTCGGTTTTAGGAATAGCCGGAGGCAACTATTGAGTGGGCTTAGTCATTTGTTGATGATGTCTGTTGTGAATGGTATTCTTTGTACTTGTGAGCTTCCAGGTACCGAAGGTGTTCCCGTGGGGAGCCCTCAGTATGTTTCTGTGAATTGTTGGAGTGATGTACTCATTGATTTCTCGCCGAGTCTACTCCCCTTCACCACCCTATCTTTTTTTTTGAGTAGTGAAGGGAAGGCTTCAAGAAACTTGGTTTCTTGGTAAGGCTTGGCCTATCGGGAGGTAATAGAATACACCATTAGCTCCCCCCTCAGGTTAACCTTCCGAGTTCCGAGGGGATCGAGGGTCGTTTCCTGGGTACAAGATATGGTGGTCTGTAGCCTGCCTCCCCTTGGGGGATGGCGCGGAAAGTGCCTCAATTTTTAAAGTCGTCCCCTCGGCGCTAGACATAGTCCGTGGCCTGCCACACCCTTGGGGTGGTGGCGCGGGGAGCATTTCGATTTGGAAGTCGAATCCTGGGCATTTCTCGTGCTTGTCATACCCTTGGGGTGATGATGAGGAAAGCGTTCCGTTTTTGAAAGTCGAATCCTGGGCATTTCTCGTGCCTGTCATACCCTTGGGGTGATGACGCGGAAAGCGTTTTAGGGAAGGGTTTTCATTTGCACACTGGTTGCAAATGGCCGGGGGCACTACGTGCTGCCGGCACCGAGAGGTGGCGCCTTCGGTATAGGCGTCCTCAAGGGGTACGGCTTAGAAACTACACTTGGTGTTTGTTCCGATGTACGGCCCCCGGTACTTGGTACCGAGGGGTCTTCTGTGAAAACACTTGGTGTTTTTTCTTCATTTTGTCGCAGGTGATTGTGTTGTCTACCCTCGGTACTTGGTACCGAGGGGTCTTCCGTGGGAACACTTGATGTTTCTTCCCATTTGTTGAAAGTTGTCAGTGGTGTGTCCCCCCGGCACCGGGTGCCGAGGGGTTTCTATTTGAGGACAGTTGGTACCCTTTTTTTTGCTGTTTGTAGGTGATAGTATTGTCTACCTTCGGCACTTGGTGCCGAGGGTTCTTCCTTGTGGTAAGGCCTTGGACTCGGGGGTGATATGGGGGCTTGGCCCTTCGTAAGAATCATGTTCCATCTTCTTGATGTCTTCAAAATGCCTTCATTCTTCAGAATTTTTAGGCCTTGGGCCGTAAAATAATATATTCACTAGTTATGAGGGCTTGGCCGCTCTGATGTTATTGATAAAATTTAACTAAGTGATGTACATTCCAGTGCCTAGGGACTTCAGTCCCGTTAGGGCGTTTTAGCTTGTAAGTTCCTGGTTTGATGATGGCTGCCACGATGTAGGGGCCCTCGAACTTTGGTGCCATCTTTCCGCCCTCGGTTGGTTGGCTAGCTTCCTTTCTTCGAAGGACATAGTCCCCCACTTGGAATTCCCGGGAGCGAACCTTGGCATCAATGTAACTCTTCACCTGCCTTCGGTAGTTCTCTGCACGCATGAAAGCTTGCTCTCGGCGTTCCGAAATAAGGTGGAGGTCGAGGGCCATATTGACGTCGTTGGTCTCTGGGTCATACTGTGTGACCCTTCGGGTTGGAAGAGTTACCTCAGTGGGGGCCTTGGCTTCAAATCCGTAGCAAAGGGAGAAGGGTGTCTCGCCAGTTGCCCGCCGAGGGGTGGTACGGTAGACCCATAAGATGTTGTGGAGCTCTTCTACCCAGCCACCCCCCTCGGCCTCTAATTTCTTCTTCAGGCCTTCGAGCAAGGTCCTGTTGGCGTTCTCCACTTAACCGTTGCCCTGAGGGTAGGCAACGGATGAAAAGGTGTGTTTGATACCCCATGCCTCTAGGAGGGCACATAAGGGGGCTGCCTCGAACTGAGTCCCGTTGTCGGAGATGATTTGCTGAGGGACCCCAAATCTTGATAGGATGTTTTTAAGAACAAAGTGACGGCACCTGGCCTCAGTAATGCTGGCGAGGGGCTCAGCTTCCACCCATTTGGTGAAGTAATCGATGGCGATGATGATGTACCTGTTGTTGGAGGTACCCCTCGGAAGAGGGCCCACAAGGTCTATGCCCCATCGAGCGAAGGGTATGGATGTGCTGATGGGGGCATAGTTGACTGCTGGCCTGCCGGGGGCTTTCTGGAAGTGTTGGCATGCAGGACACCTCCGGGCAAGATCTGCACAATCCCGGGCCATCGTAGGCCAGAAGTAGCCCTGGATTATTTGCCTTCGGGACATGGAGAAGGGCCCCTGGTGAGCTGAGCAAGTGCCACTGTGCACCTCCTCCATCGCTACTTCGGCTTCATCTTGATGAAGGCACCGAAGTAATGTCCCGTTGTAGGACCTTTTGTAGAGCCTCCCGTCCTCGATAGCGTAGCTGGGAGCCCTCAGCTTTGCCAGCTTAGCGCGGGCCTCATCCTCGGGAAGTTGCCCTGTGGTGATGAAGGTGACAATGTCTGAGATCCAGTCACCTTGCCTTTGTTGTATGTGCATGATGGGGCTAGCGTGTATGCTCGAGAGGCTGAGTTCTTTCACTTTGGCGATCTTTGAGATATGCTCAGGGGATTAGGCCGAGAGCTTGGATAAAATGTCGGCCTCGGAGTTTTGAGCCCTCGGTATTTGAGTAAGAGAGTGCGCCTCAAATACCTTAAGCAACTCCTTGGCCGCCTCCTTGTTATGCTTCATTCTCCCTTCCTTAGCTTCGTACTCCCCGGATATTTGGCCCACGACTAATTTGGAGTCGCACTTGACGTGAATTTGTTGGGCCTTCATGTTAGCAGCCAGCCGAAGGCCACAGAGGAGGGCCTCGTATTCGGCTTCATTGTTAGAGACTTTGAAGGAGAAGCGGATTGCATAATAGGCCCGGAAGCCTTCGGGTGAGATGAGAACCACCCCTCCTCCACATGCTTTGGCAGCAGAGGAGCCGTGGGTGTAGAGGGTCCACCAATCATCTGAGGGGGCCGAGGGCTCTTCGTCCACGTCTGATCTCGCCGTACATTCTGTCACGAAGTCCGCTAGGGCTTGGCCCTTGATAGCGGGCCTAGGACGGATGTCGATGTTGTATTGGCTTAAGAAAACAGCCCATTTTACCATTCGGGAGGAGCTGGTGGGGCTCCTCATCAAGGCGCCGAGGGGTTGATGAGTGAGGACCTGGACCGGGTGACCCTGGAAGTAGTGGCCCAACTTCTTGACGGTCCACACGATAGCCAATACCGTTTTTTCCACGGGGGAGTACTGGAGTTCCGCCTCCCTGAGGGTCTTGCTAACATAGAAGATGGCATGCTGGATGCCATCCTCTTCCCGGATGAGTACTGAGCTGATGGAAGCCGGGCTAACACCCAAGTAGAGGTACATGATCTCCCCTACCTTGGATTTAGAGAGCACAGGGGGTGAAGATAAGTACCGTTTCAGCTCCTTGAATGCCCCCTGACATTCTGAAGTCCACTGGAAACCGGCGGTTTTCCTCATGATCTGGAAGAAGGGTAAGGACTTCTCCGTCGATTTTGATAAGAAGCGATTGAGGGCTGCCAGGCGGCCCGTCAACCGTTGGACCTCCTTCACGTTGCGTGGGGGCTCCATGTTGATGATGGCCTGGATCTTCTCGGGGTTGGCCTCGATACCCCTTCGGCTAACCATGTAGCCCAAGAATTTCCCCCCCTAAACGCCGAAGGTACACTTCTTTGGGTTCAGCCGAAGGCTAA